TACTATCAGCTTCTATGCAGTTACTGTAGTAGCTATGTATATAAAAAGTGTTAGCAAAAAATACCCGTTTGTATATTGTGATTAGTACTGAGCCTTGTGACTTTGTTGATGACATACCTGTGAAGGTTCTCAGTCAGTCATGTCAGGGTATTTTCAGGAGTTGTACATGTGTACATGACAACTGGACTTTATTGTAGATGAGCATGTCTAATTCCTGAAGATTTGTTTAGTCTCTGGCTCTGTTCCCTTAATCTTGGTGCACATGTTCAGTAATCTATTTTTGCATAGTAACCTGTTATCAGGTAAGATTTGTAAAACCAAGAGTTGAAGAAATATTTAGCAGATTCACCTAGTTTGTATTGGAAATACAGTATTTGGTATCGTAGCTACTTTCAGTTGATCATAAATACTTGGTTTCATGTTGCGTCTCTGTCTCCTTGAGAATAAGGGATTCATCTTTAAATTGCTTCTCCCGTGATTTTCTTATTTCCCGTTCTTATGTTCTAAGGTGTTTGAGGTTTATTTCATCTACTTTAGCTCAGGCTGGCTCAGAAACTGAAAACCCTTTGAGACACCATACTGTATGTTTGGAATATATAAATAAACCTGATTTAAATGAATCCCTGTCCATTGTAGTATTTTTGCCACCGACCATTGGGACCTAATTATGGTAATGTTGGTCAGTTAGTGGGTCAATCTGCCCTTGTTTTGACACTTTGAAAATATGAAATTCAACTGGTTATTGTACATTTCTGTTTGCAGGAATGTGCAAAGGGATTTTTCCTCAGTGAACAAAACATATGCTTGCCATGTAACTGTAAAGGCCACGCTGACTCCTGTGAAGACATCACTGGCATTTGTAGAGTAAGTGATCCATCCCGATTATCATGCTTTAAAATGATCAATGATCATATTGCTGAGTTGTTATAATGTTATGAGAAGCAACATACCATAAGTTTAACCTTTCCCTTTCAGAACTGCAAGGACCACAGTACAGGGGATTTCTGTGAAATGTGTGAAGATGGTTACATTCTGGTGCCCAGGGTAGATAGACAACACACCTGCCGACCTTGTGCCTGTCCCCTCTCAGTCCCCTCCAACAAGTAAGTCAGTCTGTTCTTGTTTGTTATTCAGTGCTACATGTTGGCAAGCAGTATGTATTCACTCAAATACCTTCCCCCTGTGTGTTTTGCCAGCTTCGCAGTGCGCTGTGACAGAGGAAGTGGCATTCTGCGGTGCAAGTGCCAAGAGGGCTACGCCGGACATTTATGTGAAAGGTCAGTGCTGACAAGGGTCCAAACAACCAAGTAACCGAGAAGTTTTCATGTCCAAGATTGTTTACTGTAGGTTACAGAGCAAAGTCACAATAGAACTTGCCTTGAACAGGAACTATGATAACATTTTTTTTTTGAGTGGACCAACTCATGCTCAAACTGTCATAACAACTGAACTCCTGACGCTGATGAGCAAGTTGTGTTAGGTGTAACAACCGGCTGAAGGAGGGAGCTGAATGAGATGGGAGAGAAACACATTCATCAAGAAGATGACCCTTTGTTTTTGCTTGCAGCACTTTGAGCCTCCTCTGCCTAATTTCCACAGTCAATGGACGTAATGTGCGTGATAATATATATATATATATATATATATATATATATATAGTTAATCTGATCACTTAATGTCACCATTAAATACAAGTTTTGTTGCAAGTCTGCCAGAACAAGTCAGAATCCATTTTTTAATGCAGCAATTGTGAATGGTCTTCAACTGGAAACCAAACAAAAATGCATTGCTGCCACAAGATGCAACATTTTTTCTGGGTTGAGTGACCAAAAGAAAAATTAGGCACTTATTACATTTCACATGCCATCATTATTGCTTCCTACACTTAGACTAGTAACAAGCAACTGAACGCACAAATGGTCCCTTGTCTGTGGGTTCCTTAAAAAAAACTAAATTAAAATAGACAGGGAGCAAAGTTAATTAAAAACCTCCCCACAAAGAAACTCTTCACACTGAAGATCAAAGGGACCATCCAAAGGATGGAGCCTTTGATTTTCCTCAAATTGTCCATTGCAACAGGCCATGATATTGTCAGTCATCTATAGTTCTTCCCATCCAGGTGTGCGCCAGGTTACTATGGCAACCCCATGGAGATTGATAATTCCTGCAAGAGGTGTGACTGCAATGGTAACTCCGACCCCAACCTGATTTTCAATGAGTGCCACAATATGACAGGCCACTGCCAACACTGCTGGGGAAACACTGCCGGTGCCAACTGTGAGAGGTGCGCTCCAGGTTTCTACGGCGACGCCATCAGTGCCAAGAACTGCAGAGGTGGGAGCAATGAACAAACTCCAACATCTTTAACCCTCATTTACGACATGTTTGATCCATACTTTAATAGCTCTATGCATGTGTATGAGTATGTTGTGCTTTAGTGAGGATATTGATGTTTGAGACCTGAACAAATCTTCTTCTGCATCTTAACCCTCACACAGCAGGATGTAAAATGAAAGCAGGAAAGGTCATCAGCAGCTCAGTATTCTTCTATGTCAGTGTTGGATATTAACTTATTAAGTTCCACCATATTGGAGTTGATATATCATTATGTTGAATTGCTGTTATATGTTCTTAATTATATAATTAATAGTTGAGAAATATCCAATATTAAGCACCAAACATTTTAATGGCTTTGTGGTCTAATCCTAATACTGTTCAGTGGAAAAATAAAACAAGGTCAGAATCCAGGATCAAGGACTAGTGTATCCCTTTTGAGGCCCTGGAAGTCCAAAAATAACTGTGCCTGTGACATAATTTGACCTCCGATGTTCTCATCACTGCATGTGTCTGTTCCAGAGTGCTTGTGCAATAAATGCGGCACCTCCTCATGCGACGACAGGACAGGAGTGTGTCACTGCAAACCAGGTGTCACGGGCCGACTCTGTGACCAGTGTGAGGTGAGCTAAACCTTATGACACTGCACAGATCCACTGGTATCTCTTCTGAGGGAAGCAGGGTTAGAAGACTGTGTAGATGAGATTCATTACAACCCAGGTATATCCATGGTATTAATTATACAGAACAATTATAACAATATGGTTGGTAATGTTAAAATTGCACTGTATAAGGTAACATTTTGAAATGCAGAAATGACTTAAAAGAAGTACAACAAGGCAACAAACAAACAGAGAATAAAAAAAACTTTTAAAACCTCATGTTATCCAAATATATTTGTGGAAAAAGTGTAGAAATGCTGGAAATGTGAAGTTGAGGGATATGAAACATTTTGTTCTGAAGTCGAAGCACTTAAAGAAGTGAAAGGGTTTTAAGTTTCTTGAACTTTAATGAGCTGAAAGGAGTTGAGTTGTCAACAGAGGTGAACGCTCTGCATTACTGTGAATTGTTGAACACAAACAAACACTTCTTTTTAACATGACGCTTTAGCTCATATCAAGAACTGAAAACAGTTCAAGTGGTACTGTGAAAACTTTCATTTATGAGGTATGACATGAAAATAAATGAACTGTTACCTGGAGAAAAAAACTGAAAGCAGTTGAAATGTCATTTGACATGTATTTGGTCAAAGCAAGGTGTCAAGTCAAACTAACTGAAAGCAGTTGAAACATCAGTTAAAGTGAAAGACCTTGGGTTTATTCTTATGTGTATACTTAAGACGTATACAGCTGAACACTTTGAAATTGTCATTTGAAGAGCAGAAGGTGGAAGTGACCTGAAGGCCACCTTATGTGTAAGCAATATTTGGAAGAAAAGTTAAGGTGGAAAGTAAAAAGATAACACAAACATGTCCTTTATAACTTTTCCAGCAGCACCAGGATATTGACTGACGGATACAAAATGTGACATAGGATCCCATTCCATAGTTGAGTGGTCTAGATAATTTGAATAAAGAGATAGTGTGTTGACCACCAGTCCTGTGTGTTTCTTTCCAACCAGCGTTAGTCATGTCAGTAATATCAACGTTCTCAGGTTACAGAAATTACTTAAGTGTGCTTAAGTGGCCAAAATAAAACCCTGGATGGATATTAGAGGCACATTGGCTCTTTATTAGTCATCATAAAGCACTTATTAATGCCTTATTCTTAATGACCTTATTCTGCAACTACTCCATTGAATAACAGTTTTCCCTTAATAACCTCCTAATTACTGCTTATTGATGGTAAGTAAGGAAGTTGTTGTACATGAATTACATCCAAGTGCTTGGATATGTTCACTTTGTGTGTTCCCTAATATAAGTGTTACCTAGATCAGAATCATCCTTTCAGTGATACATGACAATGTGATTCAAACAGAACTGAAACAGGCAGAGGCTGGGATCTAACAGCGTTTCGTTTGTTTGCAATCTAGGAGGGCTACTCAGGTTTCTCCAGCTGTCAGGGCTGTCGGAGGTGTGAATGTGGGCCAGCTTCCATTCGCTCCACCTGCCATCCTCTCACCCACAGCTGTCCGTGCCGCCCAGGGGCCGGCGGGCGTTACTGCGAGCGCTGCCTCCCAGGTCACTGGGACTACAGCCCCTCCGGCTGCCAGAGTAAGTCTTCTGACTGTCATGCAGCAAGTCTTTTTCTCTTTTGAATAAAACGCCCTCAATCACTTGTCGAAACAATCAGTCCAGTTATCGCTTCCCAAGTGAAAAAAAAAAAAAGCTGCAGTAAGGGTTCACATTCCCACACCCACTAACACAGTAGTACTCATGATGTCAGAGAAGCATCTGCTGAGAGCTGTGACCCTGTGGCCGTAGACTCTCCACGGAGGGGCGGATGACTTCGACATGGAACCCAAATCTACAGTATTCGCACAAACAGCTGCTAAAACAGACCCTCACCAGAGAGGCCACAAGACAGATGTGCAGGCCTGAAGCCAAGATACCATCTGTGGGACTCATACAGTATATTTGATGACCGCACTGAACCATTTACAGCTGGTCGAGAATTTAAAGAAACGTAGAGAACTCCCTTACCAGCGCTGTATGATGAAATGCTTCTGCATCTGTTTTTTATAGAGTGCGACTGTGAGAGCGGACACTGTGACATGCACACGGGAGAGTGCCTGTCAGAGGCTGCAACAGTAAACCTGTGCAACATCAGTAAGTGGAGTTCTCAACCATAGCTGAGATATATAATATATGTAATATATAATAGCATTACAACACTTGGTTTGTCTTTTCTGTTTCTAAGTGTTTGAACCATGGTTTCAGGTTGTGATGAGTGCATTTGGCATCTGATTGGGGACTTACGTCTGTCAAACAAGACACTGGATCAGCTGAAAGTTGGAGTGTTGAACATCTCTACTGGAGCTGCTGCTAACGACAGGCTCAAATTCTACAACTACACAGCCCATCGATTGCAGGTAAAAAAAAGTATAAATAAAAGAGTTAAAGCTGCAGAAATCAGTATTTTTATATGAACAATGGATGTGTGTGCTTTGTGTCAGCTGCAGTGCTCTACGGCGCTTTTTAGCAGCTTTTAGCTCATTGTTTTGGTTCTCTCACTCTCATCAGCAGAAGGCAGCTGAAAACATTCAGTGTAATGTAAAAGCTAAAACATCTAGTATATATAAGTGACTGTCTATGTTGTTCATATCTGTTTTCTCATGTGTTAACTTGATCGTAACATGTTCAACATCCACTATCTCGATATGGAGTTGCAGTCAAAGTGTGTGGTTTTAAAAAGTGTAACTTGAGAAGACATATGGTGATGCAGTTTAGATAAAGGAAAAATGGCATGGCATTGTTCACTGTTGTCTTTTTGCTTTTTTGCGTTGGGCTTTTTATCATGCTCATTAATAATCATGATATGTTATATCAAGGCTCAGTTTCACGGCTGGAGAAACAAGTCATCTGCAATGAAGGCGCAGACTGGGGACCTGGAGGAGGCCACAGACACTGTGGTGTTAGACATCAAACAGCTGGGAGAATCGGTCAGAATCAAAGTCATTCACTCATTTCATGCACACTGACTATTTTAAAGTCCCTGGAAGTCTTTAGCTGTTCGAGCCAATGTTTTTCAGTATATAAATATATTGCAATATATAAAGTAGAGTTACAGTTTTTCCAGTTATATCTGACTTATTTTACAAGACAACCAGGAGTCATAGTGTGTTAGAAGCAAATGATATAGCCACTGATTAATGCCACCAGCAGGCACTGATTTGTGCATATGGTTTTTTTCAGGAGAGTGTGGTGACGACTTTGGGGAAGAGGCTTGATAATGAAACGCTAGAGACCTTTACCTTGGCTGACCAGCTCAGCACAAACCTCACTGACCTCAACATTCGCATTGAAGGTACCTACAATCTGGCTGACTCACACTTTTGAGCACCTAATGCACACACTGGGTGGAAGAAGCAGACTGTGATTACTGTGTCCGTGTATGTTAATATGTTTGCATGTGTGTGCAGAGATGATCCACGATTGGGAGCTGTACAGTGTTCAGCAGGATGTGGACCCAGAGCTGGTCAGACGCAACACAGAGATAGCACAGGGAATGCTGACTAGAATGAGGAATCTGGACCTGTCCCCACGAGAGCCTGTTGCCACTGACGAGTCGACTGAGGCTCATGAGTGTGAGTACAAATGAGACATGACAGAAGAAGAAAGAAAGAAGAAACACGCACATACAGCAGAAATGATTACATTGTGTACTATACTGTGTATAGTGCACTCAGATTTAGCTTGGTATTGCATGGCACTCGTGACATTGAATGTAATTAATTCACTTTTGACCATTGCAATGGAAATTGAATGAGGCAACAGTTAGAAGAACTGTTACCTCATGTAAAAAGCCCCGACATGTTCAGTAACTGTGTGCATGTGGGTGAACCCAATTGTTGACTTTCAACCAATAATCAATAATCAATCAATCGATGATAAAGGCTATGATAACAGTAGCTGGAGAATTGTTATATTGTTGCAGCAAATCCCCTGAGGGTGTTGATTTGAGCACTGTGTGTTTCATTTATTTATTTTCAAAAAAGTATAAATTCCGGACCAGCAAGTCCTTCTTTAGTTTGAATATTACAAAGAAACAAAAACATCCCAGCAAAAGATACATTTTCACCAGAAGAGACCAACGGAGCATTAACAGACCACTATGATCACCAACAAAACTAAGTGAAAGATGGCAGATGACTTTGGAAATTAGGACTTATTCTAAAAACCCTATAGGGTTGCAATTTCGTCTGGAAGAACAAAAATAGAGACATTTTGAAACAATGATGTGGACACACACATTTGCTTTCTGAGTAGTTATATCAGTCATGACCAAACTACCAGCAGTGAATGCACAGCATTGCTGATACTTACTGTCAGTAACAGTTCTATCTCATTGTCAGTCCAGGAAAATACATCACCGTTCTTACTTTTCATCTTTGCAACCAAATGGAGAGAAGAGGAAGAGAACACTATGTTTTAATATGAAAATGTGTTTATGTTAGCCTTAGGTTAGTATTGGAACGTTAAGACTGTTGCTGGTATCAGGTAACAGTGACAATAAAGTAACGTGTTTCTGATTGTGTTTCAGTGCTGAGGCGTATCCGTCAGTTGGAGAAGAAGCTGATGAGCACAGAAGGCCGACTCTCACCTGTCAGGGAGGTCCTATCCCGCTTCTCCACCAAGCTATCAGACGCTCAGACCTCTCTCCAGAAAGCAGCCGGCAACGTGCAGGAGACGGAGGACATGAACAGAGCCAACATCCTCAAATTCCAGAGGAGCGAGGTGAGCGCTCCACTCTTATTCTGTTTGTTACTATAAATTCATCTGTTTATAGTCTTGTTTAAAAGCTCACAGTCATCCCTCCCCACCACGGGGGAATGTGCTGGCATGTCAATTGTTCTCAAAGTGCTATGTGCTTCATCTTAACTCAAAATGTTGAGCTATTCTCAGTCACAAGGAGGTACCTGGTCTGACAGGACCTTAGTCTGTTGCTAAATACAGTGTGAGGGAGATCTGGCTGCAGTTTGCCAGGCAAGTCAGAGAAGCATATTCTGCATGGTTTTAAGGACAGAACAGAAACACTAAACCATCTGTGGGAGCTTTGGACTGTTACATTAGGAGGAGGCCCGCACTGGGGGATGAGTAATGCTGCAATGCAATTTTTTTCCCCATGACAATATCTATTGCTAGCACATGGACATCATGCCATAGCCTGATGCACTCAAAACGAAATGGAATTACTGTAAGAGGAGATTCAGCTTCTGGCAAACTTTTGGAGAGTAACCCAAAACAGAGTCATGCATTTTGACTGCTCAGCAAACAGTGTAGTGTTGATTGATAGCAGAGGTGCAGAGGTGCTCATATGCAGATTTGTGATATGTACATACCTCTGGGCAGGAATATTTAACTTATAGCTTAATTCATACAGGGATACACACGTATTAAAGTTTAACTATACCCCTAAATTCTTTGTTGAAGTGCCTCACACTGCAAATTCCAAAAATGCCATTAAAACACAGTGCTGGGAGTTTCGACTGAGATACATATGGTCAATTTGTTTGGTGTCAATATTTTATATCCCCTGTGCATATAACAGAAGCCACAAGCAACACAACTGACTCTTCATCCCGTTTTAATTCACATTTTTATGATACAGTTATTAAATCTTGGTGGTTTCACTGGATGAAGGATTGTCGTCACCAGTGGAACATTTAGCTACTAAAAAAATTTATATCTCAGCAGATGGTTAGAACCAAACCAGAGGTAAAAGAGATGTTGCTCCATAGCTGTACGGCATAGTGTAGCCTTACCTCATGATTGTTTCTTGTGCCTTGTATAACGCATGACTATTTTATGGTGTACGGGTCTTGATTTTTTTCTACTCATCATCTTTTCTAAGTAGGAAATCGGATTGTAAGCTCATTGTGAGCTGCAGTATCTGAGAGTTCAAGTAAGTTTATGTTCACACTGAAGTGGGATGTAGAAATCATTGGCTGCCTGCTGGACAGGGAACATAATAAAACATCTAGACAGCTTACATCTGCCTTGTACAATGTTTGGCAGTGATGTAGAAACACAAGGGTTTTGATTTAAAAAAAAAAAATTCAAGAACATTAGTATGAGTCCTTCAGTTTGTATGGTGTATTAAAATGTCATCATCATGGATTTGTTGAATTACAACTGTGTAAAATAATGTGGTTGGAATTTGGATCCAGGAAGTTGGTGTTTCTCTTGTTACCATGCCCCAGTTGACATTGTGGGTCTGCTGCACAGAACAGCTGCGGCTGTACAGTGTGTGTGTGTGTGTGTGTGTGTGTGTGTGTGTGTGTGTGTGTGTGTGTGTGTGTGTTCACATGTTATCAGTAATGGGGATCTCCATGACCAGGGTCTCCCATTCAATGCCATGAATGGTGCACTGACAAAACACAGAGCATCTCCTAATCTGGGGCTCTTCAGCACAAACCGGTTGACACCAGCTGCAGCCACGGTGTGCTCGCTGCTGAGTTACCACAGCCAATCACACCATCTCAGCATTGTGCCATATTTAGTCATGCAGTGGTCAAGCAAAAGGTTGGGTGTGGGTACTGCCAACTTAAATCGCCAACGTCCAAATACCACCCAGGTTAATCCACTCACTGTAAAGTATGTAAAATTATACTTTGAAGGTGTTTTGTGTGATATTGTGTGAGATGTTAAGCATCACAAAACAGTGTGTAGCTCTGTCACATTTAGCGAAGCAGGACCAAAATGCAGGCATAGAAACAAAGGCCGGTGAAGGTGAATCTAATGAAGACAAAAACAGGCTTTTAGTCACGTAAAATAACTCAGGAGATCCAAAGAACCCAAACTCAGGTAACAAAGATGATACAGAACAAAACACAACTGAGAAAACAACACAGCATAGTGAACTGGGAGCAAAGGAACTGAATACACAGAGGATAACTGAAGACAGGTAAAACACATTAGGACAGGTGCAGACAATTCCAACTGCAGGAAAAGATTAAATAACGGCTCTAGTGTATCAGTGACTTCCCTGAGTAAAGGTGGCAAGATCACTCTGACATGCAACCATGCAACCAGAGCTCTTCACAGAAATGGGGAGAAGGATTAAGTGTTCCAGCATGTAACTACTAACACCACAAACAGTTTTGACTGTGCACCGATTCAGTCATCCAGACACTATTTTAATTACTGCATGATTAAGTGTGGTTACATTTTCCCTGTGCCCCCAGGCGAAGCAGCTGCTGCTGACGGAGGACCACACTGCTGTCAATGACACGCTGGAAGCAGCCAGAGGTTTCATCTCTGACACAGAAAGGACTGTGGCTGAGGTGGATGCTATGGTGCAGGTGAGGCCTACATTACTGTGAGGACTGTTTCCACCTGAACCTAAAGTGGTTTTGTCGTATATTGGGGTTGCGATGATGTGAAGATGATGAAGGAATCTCCGATGACACCGTCTTAATTGTATTAAAAGTTTATTACAAAAAAGTTCAGCATCAATACAAGCAATGCAATCTGCATATGGAGAGATCCGGGGTCAATGTGCATCTCTCCTGCCTGGAGAGAGATTCGGAGCCAATGTGAATCTCTTCTCCTGCCTGGAGAGAGATTCTGGGCCAATGTGAATCTCTTCTGCTGCCTGGAGAGAGATTCGGGGCCAATGTGAATCTCCTCTGAGGGGCAACTTCAACTCCTCGTTTATATAGGAGTGTTGTTTTCATTATTTTAAAGTAAACACATCTGGTTTCTATCCAGCTCTTCTCGGTTGTCCAGTGACAAGAAGAGAGGCGACACTAGCTCAAATTTAGTGTTGCACTTAGAACTGTGACCTAATGCCCTACCATACGTTCAGGCTTTCTCCATATTCCTCAAAACCTGTGGACCTCAAACCTAAAGATACATTTCTTTTATGGGGAGGACTAACATAGCATTTCAGACACCACAGTTTCATAAGGTTGGTGCAAGGGGAAGAGAGGAATAATCAGTGCCCCTGCTGTATAATGATGTTAAGGTTTCCTCTTACTGAATGAGGTAGTATGTATTATAACCTAATAGACTGTCCTACGGGGTTGCAGTATCTCAGCCTTGCATTGGATTTATTCATTCCCGGCCTATGCCAGATTCTAAAGCTGGTCAACTTGATTTGGAGGCAGTTTATGGATTGTCCTTCAGCAGTCCTTTTTAGTGCCGGAGTACTCTGTTCGAAATTACAATCATCCAGCAATAACCATGTTAACTTGAGGAGTGTGTGTGTGTGTGTGTGTGTGTGTTTAGTGTGTGTGTGTGTCCTCATGAGTTTGAGTGATCACAAAATAAATGATGTTAGTGAAAGATGAGTGATTACTGGTTACAAGTCAGTGGAATGAATGTGTTCCTTTTTCTGCACAGAATGTGACCGAGTACCACGCAGCGATCGATGGCGCCAGCCAAAAGCTGACTGAGAAGACGCAGCGTCTCTCGCTGGCTGACAGAGATCTGGTTCAGAGGGCCGACGAGCATGCTGAGGAGCTGGAGAGACAGGCCAATGAACTGGAGGAGTGAGACTTACAAACACATTATCGAGCCCATGCACATCAGCAAAAATAAACAACACAGGCACATTGGTCACTCTCTCAAAATGTATTGAATATCCCTCTCAATATTTCTTCACCCTGTTTGCAACCCTTGTTACCCTAACTTTAAAAATCATACTTGAAACAGGAGAATTGATGTATTTAAAGGGAGCAGCAGCAGGTTAATAAACATGTGGTGCACTAGTCTGTATTTCTGCAGATGGCGTATGTAAGAATGTATGTATGACTAAAAATAAACTTCACTAATGGAGCTCTATAGCACAAAGGAGAAAGATATCAAGCTTTGGATTCAAAAAGCACAGTATTTGTTTGTGGGACACATTAACAGAAAAGCAAAACAAGGAAATATAGATATTCCCATCCATATTCTGTAAAAGCTGTTTAGTTATGTATGTGCTAGTCTTGATCAAAGAATTATTGAGCCAGTGAGCCAACAACTACAATACCAATACCCTAAACAGAAGTACCTCCATGGACTTTGTTACAATTCTGCTTGTCTTCCTGTTAGATCTCAAAAATGATAGAAATCAAAAATTGATTTTATCTGCTATTTTTTATTTGACTCTGAAAAAACTACTTTTTAAATATTGAAAGAAAACTTGATGGCAGCAGAAAATGCTGAAACACACTGGTATGACTTCATCAGTTTGTAATGCATAGTGAGCAAGCAAACATGCACACACTCAACTCTGCACAGGTGGAATGATAATTCTCTGTGGTGTTGTTTCTATGAGCAGCCGATTTAAGGGAATTATTTTGATTCATTGTCATAATTTTCTCTGATTCAATTAGTGCATTTTAATGTGATGATCACGGGCACTGGGAATATTTGATCATGTATGTGCAATTTAGACACATGGAATCAGATGGTTAATTATTATTGTCCTGTCTCCTCCAGGGATCTGAGAGCGAGCGATGCCAACGGCTTTGTACAGAGAGCCATCAGTGCTGCCAACGTCTACAACAACATTGTGAAATACATTGACGATGCAAATATCACCTCACTCACCACCTTCAACTTATCCCAAAGAGCTGAAGACGTAGGTTACATCATAGAGCATAAATATA